GGAGGGAGGGAAGCGACGTGTCCCCGCTGAGCGTTTCCTCGCCTAACCCGGCAGGTGCTGAGGCATGAGGAGTTCGAGGAGGGCTGCAAAGCCAGCTGCAACGGGTGAGTGCCCGCAGCCCCTTCCCGGCCCGTTGCTGCCCATGGAAGACCTGCTGTGTGTCGTTGTTTCATCTGTTAAACAGGGGCTTTGTTGGGTTGTTGTTGTTGTTGGTTTTTTAAGTACAAGGATGCTGGAGAGGGACTCTTCATCAGGGACTGTAGCAATAGGACAAGGGGTGATGGGTTCAAACGAAGGGCAGGTTAGATCTAAGGAAGAAGTTCTTCCCTGTGAGGGTGCTGAGGCACTGGCACAGGGTACCCAGAGAAGCTGTGTCTGCCCCATCCCTGGCAGTGTTCAAGGCCAGGTTGGACACAGGGGCTTGGAGCAACCTGCTCTAGTGGAAGGTGTCCCTGCCTGTGGCAGAGGGCTGGAGCTGGATGAGCTTTAAGGTCACTTCCAACCCAAACCAGGCTGGGATTCTATGGTTTTACTCCCCATAGAATCATAGAACAAAGAAAGAACTCTTACGGTCCGGTGCCTAACCGCTTACTTTTCTTAATGAGAAAGTGCAGCTATAATTCCAGTTAATGAGCAGCTTGTGCTCTTAAAATGTGTGCCATTTGAAAGGAGGTAGAATTGCTTTTGTTGCATGGTCATGAACTACAGGCAGAGGTCAAAGGCGTTGACTGGAAGGTGCCTGTCTGCTCTGTACTGAGCTGGGAGCAGAACTCTTCACAGGTATCAGCTCCTACTTGATGGGAGGCTACTGGCTTCCTGTACCATTTGATTACTCTAGAGATGCAATTCTTCCTTGGAACACTAGTATTTCAGTTCTCGAGGTTTATTCCCAACACTCATGGCAATTAAATGTGGATGTTCCAGCCCTTATGATGGAAAATGGAGCAAAACAATGGTGGGCTACGGGCCAGAAGACAACCACTTTGTTGCAGAATTGACTTACAATTATGGAATTGGAGAATATCGCCTGGGCAATGACTTTCTGGTGAGTACCACACTTAGCAGCAAGACCTTTCTTCTTATAAGCATTTTACTTTTACAATTAGGAGCCTGTTTGACATACAAGTTAGACCAGAAATTAGAGCAGCTTTGTGCCTACTTAGGATCCAGGAAGTGCTTCCTTAAGCTCCCCCTCTTAGCTGCTGTGTGTGTAGGACAGCTGGTCTTTGCTGCCAACATGGAATGGTTAGCTGAGAAGGATCTTGCTGTAGGAAAACACTCTTATTTATTATTAGTTATTTCTTCATTATTTACTTGCTGACAGCCAACGAAGATCTTATGTTTCATCTATGAATACATGTAATGTGTTTGCTCATCATTTCCCAGTAGCTAATTAATATTCTTCCTCCAGCCTGTGGGGTGCCAGGGAATGGCCACTTGGAGCCATGGATGTCTGCCTAACCTGGCAGAACAGTTAGGATCTCGATTTTCTGCTTCTGTACAGTGTGTTGAGTCAGAGTTTTAAATTCCTTTTGCTTTTCATTTCCCTTTTATGGGAAAGAAAGGCAAATGGATGCATTCCAAATATAATGGGATGTAGAATAAGGTTAAGCGTATTTTCTGGGAGTAGGATATTAGGCTCTCAGGAGATCGTATGGTCCATCTGTTATAAAAAGTGTATTTTCCAGTTTGTTTCTAGTCATGTGTAGAGGCTAATTGTTAAAAGACAGGATTTGGTCAGCATCCACTCTGTGAATTTTGTGTTCTGTTCTCACCAGGGCATAACGCTTGTGTCCAGCCAGGCTGTGAGCAATGCTAAGAAGATGGGGTGGCCCATCAGAGAAGTCACCACTGGTGTTTTTGAAACTGAAGCCCCAGGGGGATACAAGTTCTACCTGGAAGATAAGGAACAGCTCAAGAAAGGTGAAACATACACTTGCTCTTTCTTGTGTTCGAGAGATTTATGAGCGGGCTGTTAAACTGGGCTGTGCATTTGTGTTGACAGTGTTTTACAAAGCGGACATGCTTTTGTTCTACCTTACTTCTGAATAATGTAAAACTGTGCTTTTAAAACACAATATACTTGCAACCAATTTCAAATGATTTAATTCTTCAAGATCCTGTGATGAAGGTGACCTTGGGTGTCTCCAATCTCCAGAAGTCTGTTAATTACTGGTCTAATTTGCTCGAGATGAAAATCTATGAGAAGGACGAGGAAAAGCAAAGGGCTTTGCTGGGCTATGCAGATAACCAGGTTAGTCCTTGGAAAACTTTCCACTTCTGATCTTTAAGAGTTACATCTCATCATAGAAACCTCTCAACCTCTTATTTTGTGAGAACAAAGTCTTAAAGGCGAAAAAAGGTTTTAATTAAAGCAACTGTGCACTTAATTCTGTGTACTTTAATTAAAGCTTGTGTACACTCAAACGGCAATTTTTAAGTAGTTCTGTCTTGTTGGGAAATATGTCTATGGGTGATTTTGAAACCATCCACATGACTGAAAAGCTGAAGCGAATGCAGCATGGAGAGCAGTGCCCTTGCAAGTCAGGTTTGCTTTTTCCCTCTGTCAGTGTAAGCTGGAGCTGAAGGCTGTTGGAGGAGCAGTGGATCACGGGACAGCGTTTGGGCGTATCGCCTTCTCCTGTGCAAAGGAAGAGGTAACAACCACATTTCTCTCCCCACCTTGCATTGCCCAGAGCTGGATGGTGGGAAGTTAATTTCTAGTGTTGGCAAATATCTCAGTTGTGAATAAAATAATACTGGGCAGATATTTATGTTCTTCACAGTAGGAATGCAGCGGAGCTATGGGTGATGGAGAGCTGTACATGGGAACAGTCTGAGTACATCTGATCTTCACCTGACTAGGGCTGACTTTTGTTTGTTTTCTGTTCAAGTTGCCAAAGATCGAAGCGCTGATGAAAAAGGAGAACCAGAAAATTCTAACCCCTCTGGTCAGCTTGGACACACCTGGCAAAGCCACAGTGCAAGTGGTTATTTTGGCTGATCCTGTGAGTAGTATTGGAAATAGCAGTTGAATTAGATTTGAATTTCTTCCTGTCATTTATCTAACTTACCTGTGCTTGCATTTGGTTTAGGATGGCCACGAGATCTGCTTTGTGGGAGATGAAGCATTTAGAGATCTGTCCAAGGTGGACCCTAACGGTGCCAAACTGTTGGATGATGTGAGTAGTGCTGTCTGCACATCCGTTTGCCTCCTGATCATTGAGCTGTAGAATCTAATTTTCATTCCATGTGGAGTTTTTCTGAGAAGCAAATCATAATCTTGCTAAGGAAAACAAATCGGTTTTGAAACTTCACTTTCAAAACTCCTGGATAGAGTTTTCCAGCCTCGCTCTTGGGGCAGCTGGGTGGTGTTATGTCACCAACACTTCTGTGTAAGTTACTGCAGGGAATGATGAGCTGCCATAATGTCAGTGCAGCTCCATGTCCCCCTGCACAGAGGTGCTCTGCTACGGAGTGTGAGCTCATGGGAAGGCTGTGTTTAAACTGTCCTGGCTTGCTCATTTTACCAGCTCATGTGGTTGATTTTCAGTGTCTGTTTTCCTTACTAGTACCTTTCCTCCTGATGAGAAAGTGTCCTTGTGGTCAGCCTGGGGTGTGTGTGGGGCGGGCTGGTGAGTGTGAGCAGCAGCTCAGCCCTGGTTCTGAACATGTAAACACTTTCCTTCACGCAGGCCATGGCGTCAGACAACAGTGACAAGTGGTTTGCTGCACACAATATGAAGAAGGCTGCTGCTTAGCTGGAGGAGAGGCTGGACTGCTCCTTCCTGCAGTGGTTTTCATCAAAGAGAAATATGCCAATCCCATGTACGTTTGCGTTACCCCTTCTAGTGAATGCCGTTGTGTCCCACGCTGGTTGATTTGTTTGATTTAAGCTTTTGTCTTTTCCTGCTGCTCTCTCCTTTCAAGCATGTTTATCTTTCAAAATAGTCAGGCTGCACAGCAAGGAGAAGGTTTAGCCTGTGGCTTCCAAAACAGGTCCTCCATTGGTAGGAAAACCTCACACTTCTGTGTTGTTATACTTGAAAAAGAGCGTGCTTGACTGATTACAGTACCAAATTCTCTAACTAACTGGCTTTAGTTGTCCTGGATTTGCTGCTTAGAGAAGGGATTTTTCAGGATGCTGTGTTGCAGCTACCCTACTTTGGTAGTGAAGTGTGGGGCTGAAGGGAAGGGCTGGGTACAGGGAACTGGAGCAGTTCAACTGTCACAGCCTGGGCCTGTTTGCTGTGAACAGCAAAATAACTCACTAGATCACATGAACATTATAGTCTGAAACAAACTTTGTTTTCATTCCAAGATGTTTCCCCAGCTTTTGAGGTGAAATATTCACTTGAGGAGCCCAGGGTGTGTTTCTTACTGGGGTCACATTACTGATGTGGTCATTTCCCCTTACCAAGGAGCCTTCCATATTCCAGGCAGGAGCCGGGGCTGTGCTCCAGGGTGTGAGGCAGCACTGTGCTGTCTGTAGAGGCACCGGGAGGTGACTTGAATTAAGCACATTGTGGGTTTGCAATTGGCTTTTGATGAGAAATTGCCTTTGGAAGTAGCAGGTTTGGGTTTATTCCGTTGGAATGCAGTCACGTCTGCTTTTTTTATGTGGAATAAGGGCTTGGAATGCAGGGAGTAATTACAGTACTGTCCACATCAGGTGTGCTGCCTGCTTTGTCATCTTTCTCCGTGAAAACCTTATGTGTTTATCAGAGGAAAATCAGCAGTGCTGGCAGCCACCAAGGCGTGTCAGTGCCTGCAGTGAGTGTTCTGAGTTTAAGCAGGAAAAAATCACTGTGATTTTTATCATTTGAGCTTTTCAGTTCAGGTTCAATGATGATTTTGAATCACATATTAATCGAATCAATGTCATGTGCAGCTGCACCCTGGAACTGACGCTGCTTGCCAGTGTCACCCTTATACTAATAAAAGTGGTCCTGGAGGCCGGTGTGTGTGCCTGCTTCGGTGTACCGGGGCTTCCTCTCCCTTTTAATCCCGTGCACGCAAATTAATCGTGGGAAGGATGCGGCGGGACAGGCGGCGCCACCGCCGGGCCGCCAGGGGGCGCTGCGGCGGAGCCCGTCTGCCCACTCTGACGTCAGATCGCGTCGCCGGAAGTTGAGCGCGCCGCAGCCATGGAGGCCGGTGGGTGCGGGAGTAGGGGGAGCGGGGCCGAGTGGGGACGCGGGGGGTCGGGGTCGGGGTCGGAGCCGGGGTCGGGGTCGGAGCCGGAGCCGGAGCCGGAGCCGGAGCCGGAGCCGGAACCGGTCCGAGGTAACGATGTGTCTCGTGCAGGGCCGTGGGGCGTGTGCGCGGAGACGGCCATCCTGCAGGGCGGGTTCCTGCTGGCTGCACGGCTGACCCAGCCGCGGTCGCTGCGGGAGCTGCGCAAAGCCGACTGGCCACGCGTGGGATCCCCGATCACCGACGCCCTCGGGGAGATCGGGGCCCTCTGCTCCTCACCGCTGCAGCACAGCCTGTGGAAGAAGGAGGCTGTGGCCATCGTCTGGGCTAAAGTCCTGTTGCCGGCGCCCTCGGCTGCTTCTCTGGACCAGGGCTGGAAGGAGGATGGCTTCTTCTTCATGGGCAGGATGATCCCTGACGTTAACCACACCGTCCTCTTTGAGCTGGTCAAAGCTCTCAGCGAGGCCCGGCTCTTTGTGCGCCTGCTGCTGGCGCTGCCCCAGGATGTGTGCCGGAGCCAGCTGGAGCACTTGGTGGAGTACATCGCCAGTGAGACATCCCCATCAGACATCACGCTTTTCTTGGATGTGTGGTGGGAGGTGATGAAGCACAAGGAGGGAGAGGAAGACGCAACAGTCTCTGCGTTCAGCACTCTTGTACATCAGCATGAGTGTGAGCCCTCCCTGCATGTTGGCCTCCAGCCCCCAAAGAGATTCAAGGGTGACCCTGATCCTGCTGCCACCAGCCTTCTCATGGTCCTCATAGAGGGGTTAAAGCGGATCTACGGGTGCATCACCCTGCCCCGCATGAAGTGCTATGCTTTGGCCAACCTGGCAGAGCTGCTGTCTGTGTTCACTGAGCTGGAGCCAGAGAGCAGCCCCCTCCCAGTGGCAGAGTACCTGGAGAAGATCAGCACTATGGTCAGCCTCTGGACTGGTGACACTGAAAGCACGTACCACCACAGAGGACTGGATGAGAAGGTGAGGGAAGCAGAGAGGAGCATGAGCCTCTTGTCCATGGCCAAGCTCTCCCGTGAGGAGCTCTTTGTTGGCTTGGACCTTCTCTCTAGCTTGTTGCATGCCTGGGGGGAGGAGCTGCAGGGAACACTGAGCAGCTCTGAGGAGAAGCTCTATGAGAGTTACCGGCTCCTGGATACACTTACCACCCTTGGGAAGAACCTGGCTTGCTTCTCAGAAGCTAAAGACCTGAGTGAGGATGAGATATGTGTAGTGTTAGAGCTGACACAGATCTCTAAGGACTTGCTCAAGGAGATCAGTGCCAGCATGAAGAGGAAGGATTTGGACACCAGGCTTGTGTCTTCAGTTGCCATGACAATCATTGAGCAAAAGCTGGACCGGCATGTAGAGATGTGCTCCATTTTTGCATCTGAGAAGACCTGGGTCTTTTCAAGGGACTGGCTTGACTGCCTTGTGAAAAACAAAGCTCTCTTCCAGAAACCAGAGCTAGTTTTGAAATTGCTGGAGACGCTGGTGAGCTTTGCCATGCTTCGCCAAGACAAGGAGGCCCAAGAGCTGCAGAGGCAAGTGACCAAAGCCATTGTGGAGTGTTACAATGAGCTGTCATTAACTGACAAAAACCAAGTGATCTCGGGCATCCTGGTGTCCTGGGGTGGATGGGGTCTGTCCCTGAACTTGCAGGTTGTCATGGAGGGGTTCCAGGAGGATCTGAATGTGACTTTCAACCAAATCACAAAGAGCGTGTCTGATGAAGGCCTGACCAGGGCTGTGGCTTCCGTGGCCAGGCTCACTCTGATGTACCCTGAGGCCACGGTGAAGCAGGTTTGTAACCTTGCTGTAGTCAATCTGGGAGCACACCAGTTCCTTGCGCAAATCCTCTGCTCCTTCCCAGTACTGAGCTTCCTGGAGAGCCACGATGATCCCAGCAGGCCACGCAGCCTGGTGCTGAGATGTCTGGAGGAGGCAGTATGGGGGAGGCTTTCCACTGTGAGGCAAGAGGAACAGTTCCTTGAGTTCCTGGCCTTTCTTATGCAGCCAAGCTCAGCCACCCCCCTTGTGTCACCGGCAGAGGTGACCAAAACCTTTGTCCTTCCCTATTTGAAGTCGGACTCTGTTCACATTGAGCTGAGCCTGCAGATCCTCAGTAAGGTTTTGGGGATACAGTCCAGTTCAGAAGAACACTGGATCAAGTCCTGTCACCCATTCCCACTTCTCCTCAGCCTCTGCAAGCTTCTAGATGGTTACACAAAGTACTGGCATCAGCCTAGGGACCAGCTCTTTCCTTCTCTGGAGACCAAAGACCTGATACTGAACATCCTCTGCCAGCTCTGTGAGGTGATAAGACCAGAAACTGCCCCTTCCTCTGAGCTGTGGGTCCAGTCACTCGCTTGGCTTCACAGGAGGGTGGCGTTGCTGGACTGGACCATTGGTCTGCGGCTGAAGAAGCTTTATGGAGACCACTTCAAGAACGAGGTCCCAGCAACACTGTTTGAGATCTGCACACTTCCCGAGGATGAGTGGACATCCCAGCCTTTGCGAGCCTATGGACTGGGGAGTGGGCTCCTGGCATGGATGGAATGCTGCTGCGTCTCCACGGCGCTCAGGGAGACGATGCTGACGCTCCTCACAGTCAATGTGGACAACCCCGAAGAAGTGAATCTCTTCAGCAAAGGGTTCCTGGTGGTCCTCATACAGGTCCTCCCGTGGTGCAGCCACAGTGAATGGAAGAGGCTTGCATATGTGGTTGAAAACCTGCTGCAGAGGCAAATCCTGCATGTGCCATATACGCTCGAGTACGTGCAGTACATGCCCCTGCTCAACCTCCGGCCATTTGCCTGCTACCTCCAGTTCTCCATGCTCTTCCTGCGGGGTTTCCAGCTTCTCTGCAGCTCCAGCTGCTCCACCTGGCTGCCAGCAGAGGCTTGGTTCCATGTGGTCCAGCTCTACTGCAGCAGCTTGACAGACCTGCTGGGCTCTGTCAAGAGCATCGCGGGGTCCCCCTCGCACCCTGAGGACAGGACCTTCACGCGGGAGGTGTCCTTCATCTGCATCCAGATGTTCTGCCACCTGCTGCACGTCGCTGCCATGCTGCCAGAGCAGGGGTGCAGCGAGCCGCTGGTGGTGGTGGCGTTGGAGATCCTCTCGCAGTATGAGGTGTTCAGCAGTGCTGATACGTCCCCCGGCAACATGCTGCACAGGGCCAACGAGAGGCACTTCCTGGAGTCCATCACGTACAGTGTCAGTGACGAGGAGCTTCGTGGCACCCTGCTGCAGAAGCTTAGCAAGCTGGGAGCACACTCAGGTCGGGAGCCAGCTTGAGGGGCTGGAGGGAGTGACTCTTAGGTGGGAAGCTGTAAGATCTGTAACAAACCCTTTCTACTTTTCTGTTTGGAGCTTATTTCCCCCTCCTGTGTATTCTTCCAACCTAATGAAGGGGCTGTGTAAAGATAGATCAGAACCACTCCCTTATTTTCCAGTGGGAATAGCCTTGGACACCGTTGTTCCTAAGCCAGGCTGCTGGGCCCATGGCTCCAGCTTTGCCTGCTGGCAGCCTGGGTTTATAAAGAGCCCATCAGCCTCTGGCATCAGGGAAATCATTTCCCTTGGGCTCCCCTGCTGCTACCCCTCCTGTGCCCTGGGTGGATTGCTGGGTTCAACGCATGCTGCTGGACACTGGGATGTGAGTCAGGTGAGCTCAGGATGGGCAAGAACCTTGGGAAATGCATGTGCTGAGGTGGGGGTGCAGCAGTAACCCCGTGTTTTAACACCCCCCACCCAGAAATGAAAGCACATGGGAGAGACATCCAGTGGTGTGACTCAGAAAGGAAATCTTTATTGGTCTCCTGACAGTGAATAGGGCAGTGTTAGTGCAAACAGAGATGCCTCGTTGGCTTTTTATTTCTGTCCTTACATAAGGCGCGTTATTTGCAGTTAAAACAGCGAGATAAAAACATCTGTAAGAGGTTGCAAGCGGTTTATAACATCAGCCGGCCTTGGTCGTTAATGTAACCGTAGTGTTTGTGCAATAACTGACCACATGTTGGAAGAGGCCCTTTATTTTACTCTTTCCAGAATACAGACGTGGCAGGGACAGGATTAGACCCAAGAGAACCAGGTCTCCCAGAGCTCTGCTGTTTTAGGCAGAGTGAAAGGCACAGAGGGGTGACAGGTCTCTGGGCATGGGGGGCTGCCAAGGCCATGCTGGTGCAGTACCTGCCCTGGAGCAGGGGACCCCCAGGCAAGCTGAGAGGGCTGCAGGAAGGAGGTGGCTGCCCTGGCTTGTGCTGGCTGCAGGGAAGGAACTGAGCTGTTACTGACACCCACCTGCAAGGCTTGTGAACCCCGTATCCATTCTGCTGAGACTGGAGGTGGAAATGGGCTGGGTGCAGCTCAGTGCCCTGCTCTGGGAGTGCTGGTTCCTCCTGCACTGAGGGTGGAATGGGGCAGGAGGGGTGGACACGGGGTGCTGGTGGGAGAGCAGGGCAGAGGATTTTAAATACCCACTGGGGGGATGTGGGACAGAAAAACAACTGCAGGTGGGGAAGAGGATGGAAGTTGCACCCCCTGCTGATGAAGGGCTCTGCGTAGTGCCCCACGTGTTGGTGAGACAAGGGCCTAGCAGTTGCTTGTCCCCATCCTGCTGTTCAGCCATGGGTGCTCTGCTCTGCCAGCATTGCTGGGAAACAGCTTAACCAACCATTCCTCTGTCCCGGCACAAGCTTCTCTCTCCTCCATTCCTGCTGGGAGCACCAGAACCTCCAACCCTGGGACCACCAGCCACGGACATCAGTTATAGTGAAGAAGCACCTTTGGGTTAAGTGGGGTTTGAATCCAGCAGCAGCAGGAGGTACACATGGGAGGTAAGAGGCTGAACACAGCTGTAGTGAAGTGGTCAGGAACAGGCTCTGCAGAACCACTGCAGCCCCCGGCATGGCTCTCCTCTCAGCTGGAGGTTGACCCAGAGCTGGAGCAGCAGCAGATCCAGTACAGGGCCCCCGTGTCCCCAGTGCTGCTGCATGAGGCTGGGCACGCTCCAGCAACAGCTCCACTGCTGCCTTCAGCGCTGCGGGCTCCCTCACACGGCGCTGCAGCGGTGTCTGGTGTCAGCCCTGGAGGACGCGGCGGGGGGGTTGTAACGAACCCCTCTCGTGTGACCGTTCAGAGCCATGGCGTTGAATCCCAGAAGGAATGTCGTGCTCACAGGCTGGCTCCTACCCCGGCTCCCACAAGGCACTGGAGCAGTGTGGGAGGAAAGCCCTCCCAGGCTGGTGCTGCCTGACACAGGATGGTGTGAGGCTGCTCCCGCTGCTCTGCTCCCACCCTGGTCCCTGCAGTGAGGGTGGAAGAGCCGTGGGGAGCCGACCCTTTTCCAGCCCCACGCTGGCCGTTATCTGCTCTTGTCAGCAGGCGAGATGCCGTAGAGGCGGGCGGCCTTGCGACAGATGAGCCTGAACCAGTAGAGCTGGGGGGCAATGAGGGAGGCGTTGGCGATGTTGCAGTGCAGGGGGATGCGGAAAGGCACCATGTAAACAGGGATTCCCACCTCCCAGGCGTAGGCCGCGTACATGAAGGGGAAGAGGAGAATGCGGCAGAGGAAGAAGGTCACCAGGATGAGGATCCCGTTCACCTTGTGCAGGAGCGTGTCCTGCATTTTGAGCTGGGGAACAAAAAGGTGAATGCGGGGTGAGTGTTGGGCAGGCAGCACCCCATTGCTCCTTGGGCATGGGCTGTGCTGGGAGCATGGAAACGAGCACCCAGGAGGTGATGAGTGAGGGGGAGCGTCTTGGGAGGGAGGAGGGAAATGGGGTGGATGGGAATGGAGAATGGTAGACGGGAACAGGGTGCAGGAGGAGTTACAGGGTACAGACAGGAGGGGGCAGCACCAGGACACGGCACAGCCCCAGTTCGGGGATGCTACTGGGCATGCAGCTTACTGGGAGAAAGGGACATAGGAAGGGAATCTGATGGAAGGCAGCACTGGGGGGAGCTTGGGGTTACAGCTGTGGGGCTGCCTCCTCCCAGACCCCCAGCTCAGCTGCTCACAGGGCGGCTGTGGGCAGGGAAAGGGTATGAACTGCTGTGCCTAATCCCTCCTCACCCACCTGCATGAGGATTTTGCCCAGCGATACAAAAGGTGTGCTCAGCTCTGCCATGAAGATGCAGCCCACGAAGAAGTCCCCCAGCTCTCCCCTGAAGTGCTGCAAATAAAGCCAGCGGTGAGAACAGGGCTGGGAGCTAACACTGACCATCTCTAGCGGGTCATAGGCTTCTTTCTGACCATCAGAGATGCTTTGACAGTCACAATCTTGGTCACAAGCCCTTGCAGCCACACGGGGCTCCTCAGAGGCTGGGTTTCAGTGCAGCCATGCCCAGCCCTTACCTGTGAGATGGGGGTGAGCACGATGAGGATGAAGAGGTGGTGGGTCACCATCAGCCGCTCCTGCAGCAGGAAGCTCCACACGCTGGCCAGCGAGTGCTTCTTCTCCACGATTCCCCTGTCCAGGCTCTTGTGCCAGTGGCAGAGGTACATGACATAAATGTCATAGGTCATGTAGGGAACAAGGACCCAGATGTACTCCACGGCCAGCCAGTGCCTAGGGGAGGAGCAGCACACACACAGTCATCACAACGGCCCTGAGAACCTCACGATGCTTTAGAAGGTGGAAGGGAGGCTTTGGGTCTGAAATGGAAGCGTCAGATTTTGAAGCTGAAGTAAGCTGAAAGGGGGTGAATTTTAACTGGATTTGGCTCAGCAGGTGCAGACTGTTCCAGAGAAAAGGTACCTGGTACGAGTGGAGGACACCTCCCTGTGCCAGGCACCCAGCTCAGCCCAGCCCAGCACAAACACAGTGCTAATGGGAGGATCTTGATTAGCCCAACAGCAGGTGTTTGCTGTGCAGGGCACAGCACCGCTCAGGATCCAGCACTAATCTGACCCCTCGCAGCAGGTAATCTTCTTCCCTCAGCCCTGGGACACCAAAGGTGGTGCTTGGTAGGGCGGAAAACCCCAAGTCTGGGTCCTTCCTGCCTGCCACAGTGCTTCGGCTGGCTGCCTGACCCAGGGAGTGCTCGGGAAGCACCCGGAGACCTCAGAGTCAATTAGGGATGCCTGGCCTGGACCTTGGAGAATGAGCTGCAAATATCCAATATAGGCAATAAACCCCTACGAGGCGTTTTGTCTGTTGGGAAATAACTACAGGCAGCTGCCTGTTCCCAACGCACGTTGGAATCCCGGTTGCACAATCCCGGCAGCAGCAAGCCCTGCTCTGCAGGACACCAGGCTCCTTAAACTGTCCTGTGTGAAATCACATTGATAAACCAATACAAAACCAACCCATCCTACACTGCTGCTCGAAGAAACGTAGCTCGGGGCTCAAGCAAATCTGCTTCTGCAGAGAAAAACTGGCACACGCGTTCCCGTTCCAGATAGAAAGATTTAAGTGATGTAAAGCAGGGAGGGGAAGTGACTATTGTGTTTGCAAAACTTGCCCAGGGCTTTGGAGGGCAATTATGGTGCCAGCAATATAATGATTGCCTGCCTGTGTAAATAAATTGGCAAATTTTACTGCAACCTTTGTGATGCTTCCCGGCTCTCTGGTCCACTGTCATTCACTGAGGCCTTCCCTGCTGAGTGCTGGGCTGTATTGCCTTCAGCTCCAAAGAAAATCTAGGTCTCTGACCACAGAGTGGTTGCATGGAGCTGCTGGCCTTGAGAACACTGGGTTCCAGGGAGGAGGAGGGCTGCCGGCAGTGCCTGTGACAGTGTGGGTCTGGGATTCATCATCTGCCCTATCTGTACAGCAGAGATTTGATTTTAGAGTCAAATGATAACTAATTAGACTGCACCGGGTTATCAGGATGGAGCAATTGGGATACATCTCACTCTCTAGAGCAAGGGAGGACATTTCACATCTGTGTATTAAGGGCAAGTCTGTGATGACCAAGACAGCAACCTACCCTGAGAATCGCCCTAAAATCCAGGGTGTGATGGTCAAACGCCACCTTAATGTAATTATATTCTGCCTTCCTACAATTTTCTCTGCTATCCTGATAATTGCTCTGTTTTTAAGTCTTCTGACCCAGATTGCACTATCGCTCCTGCTGAGAGCCACTTCTGGGGCAGATTATCTCCGAGCATTGAGGACAAGGCAATGTGCTTTTTCTTCAGAGCTGGCTCTGTACTGATTTTCTCATTTCTGGACTCCTTCAGAATCCATTTGGCACGGAGAAGGCGATGAACCTCTACAGTCAGTTCTCACTAGGTCTGTTGCACTCGTTAGCCCTTTCCCCTTCCAGCAAGGAGACTCCCAGCCCCTTCAGAAGTGATGATGTCTTTATTTATGGCTCATATATGAGCCTGTGTTACAGCCCATCCTCAGGAGCAGAACCTCCATGCAGGCAGAGCAGCCTCAGGGCTGAGCTCAGGGCACAAGCATGTGCTTTTTGGGGGGTGTATGGCCAGTACATTGCCCAACCCTTCACCCGAAGCAGAAGAAACAGGAACATGAAACTAGTTTCCCTCTTCCCTTTGTACATGCAAGCCCTTGGCATAAAACACTCCAGCTGCAAGCCGGGCGGGCACAGCCTGCTCCTCCCGGGACAGCAAGGGTTACCTGTCATACACCACATCCTTGCAGTTACGGACAACCGTGATCCCTGACACTGTGGCCATCGTGGCTTGGACCATCGACACCAACCTGAAACGCAGAGAGCAGGAACAGCTCACCCCGAACGTCTCCCGGCAGGGCCGAGGAGCCGCGGCGGCCCCGGTTGCACCGGGTTTGCTCCTGGCACTCGACGCCTACTCGGTGCACGCCCCGAACGCCTTGTCACGGCTCTGCCCCGCGCCCAGCGGAGAGGGACGCGGCTGTGCCAGGCCCCGACACCGCGGCACGGCGGGAAGGGGGTGTCCGGGGCCCGTCCCTGCCACCTCCGAGCCTCAGCGGGTGCAGAGGGAGAGCTGCACCCGAGCATCCCCGCATCGCCAAGGGGAGCCCGCGGGGTCCCTGCTCCCCTCGCAGTGTCCGGCCTCGGGGCTACCGGGGGCCGGAGCATCCCCAGGGACAGCTCCCAGCGCCAGGGCTCGGTGCTCTTGGCCCGCCCGGATCGCTCCGGTCCCGACCCCTGGTCCCTCTCCGCCGCGATGTGTAACGGTGGCAGCCCGACGCGATCCGCGCCTCCTCCCGCCGATCCCGCCAGTACCTGCCGCTGAGGAGGATGCGGTCCTTGAGGCTCCATCCCGGGGCGGCCCAGCGCAGCAACCGGATGCAGAGGACGAATAGCCCCGGGAAGAAGGCGGAGGCGAGGGCCAGCGTCCGCCACATGAGGATGACCACCGCTGCTGGGCTGCCCCCGCCGCCGCTTGTCAACAGCGGGACGGGCGGCGGGAGGGTCTCGCTCGGCTCCTCTCGGCCCCACTCGGCTCCGCTCGGGAGGGACCGGCCCCGCCGCTGCCGCCCCCGCCGGGACGCGCCCCGCACCGCTGGGCGGCAGGCCCCGCCCCGCCCAATGGAAACCACGCCCACACCGCGTTCCCGCCCCTATCAAGCCACGCCCCCGGCTGCGGTAGTGGAGGGGGTGTGTCCTCCGGCTCCCGCCATGCCGTGCGGCCCGGAAGTGGCGGCCGCCATGGAGGAGGACGAGCTGGAGCTGGCGGCCGGGCTGGAGACGGCGCTGGAGCTGGCTCCTGCCGTGCAGGCCGCCATCGAGCAGGTGCGCCGGGACTGGGGGGTAGGGCTCGGCTCCTCCGGTGAGGCACCGGGTGTGCGTGCTTCCCGGTGCCCTCCCTCTGAGGGCCCCGGCGCGCTCTGCCGGTTCCTGGGCCCACACGGGGCCGGTGGCCAGGGTGGTGCTGAGGGGTTGTCAGCGGTCTCCGCAGCACCCTGCGGCGGCCCTCAGCGCGGTAGAGCTCATCTAATTGCTACCCCATCGGGGTGTTGCCCGCTCTGGGCTGGCCGTGCCTGTCCTGTCTGCCGAGTACTGGGTGTGTAAAGTGTCTTAATGGAGCTCAGTGCTTTGCGATTCGGCTGTGAGGGTGCTGAGGCGCTGGCACAGGGTGCCCAGAGAAGCTGTGGCTGCCCCATCCCTGGCAGTGCTCAAGGCCAGGTTGGACACAGGGGCTTGGAGCAAGCTGCTCTAGTGGAAGGTGTCCCTGCCCGTGGCAGGGGGTTGGAACTGCATGATCTTAAGGTCCTTTTTATCCCAAACCATCGTATGATTCTGTGAAGTCAGGATAATCTAAATGGCTTGGTTTGACTTCTGTGGTTGGTATGTTCTAGCCCATGTCCTCCAGTGCTCCCTGAGACCCTTTGTGGCACTTGAAGTCCCCAAGAACCTGGGGTAAAGTCATGTATCTGTTGGAATCTGTGACTGAGCTTGAACTGTTTTCAGCCAACCCTTTCATCTGAAGAGCTCTTCCACGTAGTAGAAGTCTGTGGGCAGCAGTAGCTGTGTCTCAAAGCATCACTTGAGTTTTCAGTTTCTTTGGTATTGCGGCTGGTGGATCACTTTTGGTGGCTCTCCTCAAAGAACTGGGGCAGACCATGGCATCTGGAGTGAGCCCAGCGCTAGCAGGTGAGGAGGGCAGCACGGTTTTTCTTTGGGTGCTGTGCCAGCTTTGGAGTATTGTTGCTTCAAAGAGACACCCCACATACTCTTATCTTTGCATGGGGAAAATCAGCGAGTTTATCATTGGCATTGAGTAATTTTTTGCTGAAACTTTAAAGAATTGCTAAGTTAAATGCCAGCTTCTAAAGTAGACCTGGAACTTGTCCAGAAGAACCCTCTGTGCTTGACAGAACCTGAGTGTTTGAAAGCCTCCTGTGATTTCTGACATTAGGCAACCAAGGAAGGTTACCTAATGATATTTTAATGAAGCACAAAATGTTTCTTTGGTGTAAACCATCTCTTTTAGAGACAGTCTTGACTTGAGTTTTCAAGCAGTGGAGAATCCACCAAGTCCCTGGCTGAATTATTTTACCAGGCAGCAGGGGCTGTTGGCAGATACATCCTGAGCTAGGGTAGGTGTTGAGGATGCTGCTGCCTCCTGCCTTCCATCACTTCCTCACTGGCACTTCCTAACCCAGTAATCTTCTTGTTCCTTTGTATTTCTTAATCAGCTTTGGGCAGAAACCACCAGGTTCTGGTGAAATGAGAACTGGCTCAGCTGACTCCTGCCTGAAGTGAGGCAGGGAGCACATGTGGTGCTCCGCCAAATGTGAAGTGGTCATTTCTGGTTGATGGGCTGTGACAAAACCAAAGGAGTAGCAACCTCTTCAGCTGGTACAGCTGCTTGCAGCACTGATCTGTATCTGCAGTTGGAGTAAGGCTCCTGACAAGCCTCTATCTTCCATCCCACCCCTTGCTTCTGCTGCTTGTGGAGATTTGGGATTTACTGAATCTGCAGGAACTGTGAGCCCAGAGCAGGACAGGCTGGTTGTGATGCTGCAGCTGTGCTGTGAGGATGGCCTGATGTCAGAGCACATTTCTCAGGCACCACCTTATGCTGCCTGCTTCTCCTTGGCCACAGGAGTAGCTTTGGGAAAGCTGCTGAAGAGGTCTGGTTCATGGAAATGGTGTCACAAAACCGCTGCTTTTAAGCTGCAAAATGTGTAAAACAGCAAAAATGCTGTGTGTGCTCAGGTCCTGCAGGTTTCTGTGAAGGCTTTTGATGACCAGGGTGATGTGTAGGGATGAGCTGTGCATTTGCTAGGCAGGGTTTTGACCACGGAGCACGGAGCTGATGGCTGTGTGAATATGAATATGGAAGGAGTATATTAGCAGAGAAAGGGGAAGCATCATGTAGTCTGTGGGGATGAAGAGCAAAGCTTGACAGTTGCCTTTGTATTGTTTGAGCTACTTCTGAGGAGAGATGAGATCTGTTGTATTGCAGCTCTCTTTCCCCTTTCCTGTGGGTAGGAATAATCATTCAGCAGTTTCTGTTTCTCTCCCTCTTTTTCATGTGGAAGTGGCAAACCCAAGCCTCCAGAGAACTTGTACAACCATTTCTCAGTTCATCATGATCCCTTTTACATGGCTGTGAACAGCAAATCCTCTTCTCTCACCACAGGGCCTTGGAAAGATCAGGGCAATGCCACAGCACAGGGGGTCATTTCCAGATACATCAGAATGGTTTGGGATGGATAATTAATGGTTTGTCTATGTCAGGAATTCCGTGTAAGTGATTGCTTGATACATCTGGGGCTGTATGTGGAAGCATGCATGTATGTTATTGGCTGATATCCACAGGAATGTGGCTGCTTTACTCCTGGGCAGAGGCCTGACCTCTCTCTGTGCACATTTGTTAGAACAATGCAGTGAAACAATCAGAAGTGGGTGCTGAAGTAACTAAAAGTAGTAGATACTGTGTAAAGTTAGAGAAATTAACAGTGATGTGTTGATTGTATTTGTTTTCTTCTCTCTCTTCAGGTATTTCCCAGCCAAGATCCACTGGACAGAGCAGATTTCAATGCTGTGGAGTATATTAATACTGTCTTTCCCACTGAGCAAGTAAGTAGTGCTCACAGCACAGCCTTCTCTATGAGGGGTAACCTGATAGTAAGCGACTGAAGGCATGTTGAAACCTGTACCCAAGCCTTTTATTTTAAACAGGAGCACAAGTAGTAAGACTATAAGAATAATCGCTTCTTAGATTCACATCTCATGATGTTCACTGGCATTATGTAGTCCCTTTCCACCCAAAGTGCTTACTGCATTAAAACTCCTGATCTGTAGAAATAAATTCATTTTCTGTATAGAGTTTTCTTTTCCAGTAAATGTCATGACTTACTGCGTCTTAATCAGTGGTGAATCCTCACGGGTTTCAGCCAAATCAGGCAGGTGTTGCCTTGAAGTATCACTGGAGAGTAACTCATGTTTGAGAGCTATTGTTTCTTTTGAGATTTAAGGAATGAGATTGCCATGGGCTCATATCCATACTTTATCTTACCCAGATCAGCCTCAGGGGCAGTTTTGGACTAATCAGCCCCAATATTTATCATGTTTAAGATCCTCTGCAGCACCGACTGGTTTGGCTTTGAGCTGTTTCTATTTAGTTTGCTGATGGTGCTGGCTTGGCTTTTTCCTTTTGCTAGTAGTGGTGAAGAGCTGTTTCCCCTGCAGTACCCCCACTACAGCTCCAGCAGCAGCCAGGCCTCCTCCAGCACATGTACGGGCTCTGCAGCAGGGTCTCTGCCCAGGGAAGGCACAGGCTCTGTCCCCGTTGCCCACTGGAGGTCACCATCACCACTGCGTTTCTGGAGCAGCTGCTGACAAGGCAGGGCTCGGGGCACCTTGCTTGCTCAGGGCTGGGTGGGAAGCAGGGAGCCTTTGGGACCTGGAGGGCTGCACCTTGGCCTGCCCTGGCTTTTGCCACTCTTCACGATGTGACCTGAGGGTTGCAGCTAAGTTGCCATGTGTCTCAGTGCCTCCATCTGTAAAACAAAGTAATTGCTCTTCTCTTTGTAAAGTGCCACTCAGTGAGAAAGCATGAGGTGTCACAGCTGATTTGTATCACAGTAAGAGGTTCCCCATTTCACTTCTCTTTTTTTTTCTTGTAGTCTTTGGCAAACATTGATGAAGTTGTGAACCAAATCAAGTTGAAAATAAGGTAAATGTTTCTCCATTTCATTGCATCTCAGGTGCTGAGTTGTCACTGAGGCTTTGTAAGTACAACCCTTGCACTGGAGCTGGGAGGAATTAATTTGCTGGAGAGAAACAAATAGGATCAGCCTCAAAGTGTAATAGTGGGACAGAGACAAGAGACAATTATTTATTATAATATTTTATATTTTGCCTCTATTATGTAATACCCTTCAGGTTATTTTAGCTGATGGGTTGCAAAGTAGAGCTTTGAAAAACAATGAAGTAAGAATCAACAGGTATCAAATTTTAGTACAGTTTAAAGGCTGACGGAACAAACTACCCAGAAGACTCATTTGCTCAGAATTTGTTTGTGAGATCAAACTAGCAATTGTAAAAACTTTCATTATGTATTACTTGTCCTGTAAGTACAAAATAAATGTAAGTATGCAGGAAATACTTAAATTCTCTGTGCAGTTTGACATTGCCAACTGGAAATGGTTGAGACAGCACTGTAATATGGGGAAAGCTGAAATGAAAACTGGCAAGAGAGGACTGACAGTATTGCTTAAAGGAAGAGAAATGGAAGAAGTCCTGATTAAATTAGGAAATGGATTCTTATTTTTATAACAGGAGGTTTAAATTCTGTAAGATAGTGATGTGCTATGGGGGTGGAGAGGGGAAGTGAGTTTACCATTGGTAGCATCAGCTTTTTTATGTTAAATCAATTCTGTAGCTCTCAAGGTTCCCACAGTTGTTGGGGTCAGGCACACAGAGAATGAGTTTGACGTGATAGATTCTTTTTTTCCAGGAGGTTGGATGACAGCATTCGAACTGTAGTGAGAGGACAGACCAACGTTGGACAGGATGGCAGGCAGGTACGTGCATCTCATCTCTGGTACGCCAAGGATTCTCATCTTGTGATGCTGAATTGAGGAATGGCACTGGCAGGCAGAAACCTGCTCTCGTCGTTAGGGAGGCATTTTTGCTGTCTCTTACACTGACTTTTTGAGCTGCTCACTGAACAACTGTTCTAATCTGTTTTTGATCACCCTCCAAAGAGAGGTGAATGAGAAATTGATTCAATAAAGCAAAAGCAGGAGGCTTGCAGTTATGGCACTCTGAAGCTAAAGATAAAATGAGCAGGATTAAGTAGGTACAAGTACATTTTGCTACTGAGTAAGGATCAATAAAAGGCTATTTAGCTTTTTAACTAGGCTGTTTGCTGAAGTATCCTGAGTTGGTAGTGACTAAGCCTGATTACTGTCTGCCAGTTCATCTCACATGTCCTGTTCAGCTTTTCGCTGTCTTTTGCTTGACAGATGTGTTTGCTTGGAGTAAAGTATTGAATAGCACCCCCGTGACTGCAGTGTTTGTTAATGCTAAGCCTGGACCACATGTTATCTGATCTTGAGTTATCATCCAGTGTGGCTGTTTTTCCTGTGTCTGTTCTGGTTTAGACTAGGAACATTAATGCCTTGAGTTGTCATCATGATGCTTTCTTCAGTGTCAACACTGACTCACCTTTCTAATACCAGATTTAATACTAGTTTACTGGCCTGGGGTAGTCAGGCACTCATCAGCATGGCTGGCTGTATTTTCCACTTCTTGCTGCAGTAACAGTTGATGCATATTCCTATCCTATGTCTGCTAGAGTCTGTGACCTTGAGTAAATTATGAATTATTATGAATTATTTAACTTGTCTATGCTTTCTTATTGCTTTTGGAAAAAAAAACGCAAGATGCATAGCTCTCCTGGCAAAACTAGTTTGATGGTTGCAAGGTTTCCTGAGTACTGCTGTTAAACTGGTGATGTGCTCGGGATGTGGCATACCTAGGAGTGATGCTGCCTGCAATCACGGTGCAGGAATTAGACAAGAAATCAAGTGGGGAGGCAATTACAGAAATTGAGGAGCAGTGCAAGACTCAGCGTTTGGGTATGATTGAAAGCTGGTGCTGTTGTAGCCTTTTGGGCTGTTCAAGGTGACAGATTCAAAGAAGACAACAAAAAAGTGGGATTAAGAAGAGCTGTGGGTGAGAATTGCCCCAAGTGCCTCACGACTTGCAGGTCCAAAGGATGATCATGGCGAGAGATGAACAAAAGCAGTTCCATGATCAGCTATGCTTGCAGGATAACAAAAGTGCCTCTGTGCTATGGAGATTTATTGAGCTTTGTTTAGAACTCTGTTTTATGTCTGTGCTTTCTCACCCTTTAATTCCCTTGAAGATCTCCAAAGCATGTAGAGACTTGGACACTATCCTGCTCTGAAGTACTGGGGAGGCAGATCTGTCTGTGCAGCCTTTCATTTAGTTTATTGTAAAGGAACCAATTAAACTCCTGTCCAAGTAAAAACTTTCAAACGTGTGTGTATGTGACATGTCTGTGCAGGGCATCTTACAAGTGGCCTGGAGCTGCAGTTAATCACAAATACTCCTGTATTTAACGGTGAATTTTCTTTTTTTCCTTCACTTTGCTACTTTGCAAGGTAGAAGCAGACTTTAAGGCAGGTGCCAGAGCTTGCAGTTGCATGTGCTAAGGCCAGACAGTCTCCCAGGAGCCTGGCAGTTGTTTCTTTAAGAGATCCTAACAAATACTAAAACTGTTCAAATATTGAAAGTGTTAGTTCTCTGGTAAGAAAAATTGTTTCAATCTGAAATGGTGAGAGCATTTCTGCGTTTCTAATCCAAGTCCACCATCTCATGCTTGTACGTGCATTCAGTATATCAGTTGTTAGAACCAAACTGTTACAGCGGCTAGACCTTGAAATTTAAAGCAGTAAAGGAGTATCAGCAAGCTTTGCATATTATCTGGTGGGAGGAACGGGCAGCAGAGGAGATCATCTTACAGTGCTGCGTAATGCTTGAATTGCATTTCAGATTGAGATGGAGTTTTGTGTTTGTCTCCCCAGAATCAGACAGAGGAAACCTAGAACAAACATTTGCTGTTCCTCTCACCCCCTGCACTACTTTCTCTGAGTTAGTGTATCCCATGTGCTAGCTGGAGGGAGTGAGCAGCCTTTTTCACATGACTACCCTGCTGATAACCCGATTGTGGGAGTGAAAAACCCTTGCTTCTCTGCTTCAGCTGCCTGTTCCTGTGCTGAAGAGTGCCTTTGTTTCACCAGGATATTCTCAGTGGAATCAAGGACACCTAGAAATGTTAATTTTTGTATAGAGAAATAGGCCTGGCTTCTCCCACTTGCAGAGGAAGGCTTTAATTTTCCAGTGTACAGTAAGAAACCGATTTGAAACAACTGAAAGCAACATGCCTCTAAGACAAGTGCTCTGCTAGGAAGGGAGTCAGTGCTACTGAAAGGGGCTTTTTTTTCCTTAATTTACCTTTTTTGGTAATAGTTTGTAGTTTGGTCCCACAATAAAATTAGGTTATTGCTTCTCTGATCTTATTAAATTTATATGAAATTTGTATCCTTGAAACTCGTATTACGCTGCGTGATTTGATTGATGCGTATACGTGGATAGATACTGTCATCCTGTGAACCCCTCCCCTGTGAAGCCCAACATGGAGATGATTGTTGCACTTTATCATAGTAACCACAACTGCAAACCACCCTTGATTAATAACGCCATCTGCAAAACATCTGCAAACTACCACTGATTAATAAAGAAACAGCTAGCAACCAGCTTTTGCAATAGGTTTGAAACAAAGCTTAACCCCAGCCACAGCAAAAGGATTAAGCTTCAGATGTCTTTTCCTATTCATAACACTTTCCTGCTATAAGAGGTGTCTATAGCCTGCAGTGCACAATAATTGCAGCAGCGTTGCTTTTGAAAAAGCCGTTCCTTTCTTTTGATTGACACACTGAGACTCGAGAGGAACGATGCAATCCATTGTGTCCTTGAAAGTGTGTGCTGTAAACAAAATACCTATGAACTCTGATGTTGTAGCTGCTTGAATTTTGGTGAGGGCTCAGAACCTTGGGCATTTATTGCAAGATTGGGGCTGGAAGGTGTTTTGCAAAAGCCTCTTTCCTTCAGTCATAATCTCTCCTGACAATTCATGATACAGACTGATCAGTGTTTGCCAGAATTGCCTGACTGCCTGGTATCTGAGCTGGAGGAGCTGTCCTTGTCTGGCAAGTAAGTAACAATTTGAATAAACATTCTTTCAATCTCTGACTTCCTTTCAAAGGAAACATAAACTGCAGATGCGGTGGTAGAAGAAATAAAAGTGCTTGTTTAAGTCAAAGCAAGCCAGGAGGGGGTTCCCTGCTGAGTCCTGGTGCTCTGTTGTCTGTGTTAGCTGTTCCCTGCCTGCCTCAGGTTTGAGTGGGGAGGCAGAGCTGCACACACAGGGGGCTGCGATCTCTGCTGCCCTTGCAGGCAAAGGGGTCACTTTGTGCCCAGAAGGTAGCTTTGACTTTCCTGTCTCCTGTCAGCCTTAACTGCCCACCAAGAGATTGGAACCAGGCAGGTTCTTAGAAGACAAACTAAGGATATTTAGTCTTTGACACTTGCTTTCTCTTTGAGGAAGTGCTCATTTCCTAACAGCCCAGTCAAGCAGCTTTCCCTCTTGTGCAGAAGAGACGTGCTTTAGTGAGCCTTGTTGGGAGCTGCACCATCACGGCCGTCCAGGAGAGGGGAGCCCAGTCTTAGTTTTGAGACCAGGATAGCGTTTTGCTGGTAACTGATGGTGAGGGAGCGCTGCCAGTGGAGATGTCTGAATAGTGATGCATGCTATTTTCCCAGTTACTGCAATCTGAATCCCAGCTGGACCCAGTGGGAATATGTAGTGTGCAACTATGGAAATGTGCTCTCCATGCTCCTTAAGGATAGCAGGTTCAAAATCCTAATTGCAGATCCAGCCACTGTATTTGCTGTGATCCAAGTCTCCTGTCCCATCTGGCTAGTAGTGTGGCAGCACTGGGGATAACACTTCTGTGCTCCACCTGGGTGTTGAGATGATCGAGCAGGTCTTCGCAGTAAATTGTAGGTGTGAGAAGGATGGAAAAGTAGGGTTTCTTTTACAGTCAGTCCTTAACTTTTAAACTGTTTCCCAAGTAGTCTTGATCACATACACATGTTTGTATAAAATAGTATCTAGGTGTCTGAAAAAGCAGATTCTAAATCTAAAAATAAAGTCATTCAAATAGATGTGGCCCCCAAAGAGTTATTTAAGCAGCTCTAAAGGCAGGAATGCTCCTTCTCCACAAAGCCTAATGTTTCCCAGTTCAAAGCATCTGCCTTTTTGAAATTTTGCCCTAGAATTTCCTCCAACTGCAGAAGCCTTAAAATAGTCTGGCTCGTTTGGCTTCCCCTTCCTGGTGCAGTATTTCAGTGGAATCTGTAGACAATACCATGAACCTCAGAAATTGTCTCACTAATGAGCCTTTTATGGGAGGAAACAACAGCCGTGGGTGGAACATTCCTCAGCAGGGCGTAACAAAATTTTCCTTGGGACTCCCAGACTTGGGCTATTTCGGATGCTTTGGGAGAGGCTGGGAATGCAGGAGCTGCTGTGCTTCAGTGGTAACAATACACAGTTCAGGCTGTGCCTGCAGTTTCTGGGGAGCCAGTGCTATCTGATTTTTCCCCTCTGCAGGGTTTTTCTCTGAGCTGCTGCTGAACTGGAGTCTGGGCTGACCTTGCTACAGGCTGCAGTCCACTGGTGCCATGATTTCCTCTCTGCCCTGGGGTGTAGTATAAAAAGTTCCCATAGATTTTTTTCCACTGAGCATTTAACACACTCTGCACGGTTTTATTTGTCACTCCTCCGTTGCGTTTGCTGCTAAAGCTTCTGCATCAACTGGCTGTAATTTTTCTGACAGTTGCTGACATGTCTTTACTGGTTGGTTGGCTGAAGCTGCTTCACTGATCACAGAATCATTTGTCCTTGTAATAAAGTAGCCTCTGCCTTTGC